GGTATAGAGATGTCCAAATAGTTAAAAACAGCAGTGTTTACATTTAAAAGATATATTAGATAATATTAAAAAGGTTGATTTTTGTTTCCACACGAAAAAGGTTATTGCTTGACTTTAAAACAACCACAATAAATACCAACTTCTATTAGCCTTTAATATCATAACTTAATGGGATATATATTTTTGTTTTTAATAATTCAGATCCTTTCATGTGACATTAGTTTTAAACTTCGGTAAACTAATTGATAATAACCAAAACTTCCCTCTTTTTTTCAGCTAAAATTTCCTGTGCTATCTATTTAAAGGATTAAAATAACGGCAAAAAGTTTTCATCAAAACAACCTATGTAATGAAGTTGTAACTTAAATAAGTTGAATAGAATGGAGTTTTTAGAAATTTCCTACCCATCTTCTCCGACAACTTTTTTCCAAAAGGCCAAAACCTTACGACGGCCTTGCGTGGAATAGGGTTCAAAACAGATCTTTTTTTTACGGTATTTTTTTTATGAAATTTGTACGGTAAACGGTTTTTTTCCATACTAATATTATCTTTATTTCATTCGGTTTTGACTCAGGACAGTTCGATTTTACTCATCACTAATACAGAAACACAATAATAAAATGTCCAAAATAAGATTTATAAAAAATCAGTAAAAAACAGAAAAAAAAAAGAAAAAAAAGATATATAATCCATGGAAGAACGCTGTGATGTGGAGGCATTACCAATTAAGGGTGTAAAACAAGTTTGCAATTGCCGTCTTGCCCACAATACGTTCTCAGATAAAAATTAGAGAGAGAGAAGAGAGAGTTTATATTTTCTCACTTTATGTTAAATGTATATAATTTAGAATTAGGAAGAGATAGAGGTTTCCAAAGTACAGAAATCCTAAACTTCAACCACAGGTCCATGATTGAACGAATTACAGATACTAACCCGTAACATTCTAGATAGACTCCATTGACCGTTCACCCCATAAAAACAATCCTTCCCTTTGCGCTTTAAGTCCATTAAATTGTAATACAACTCTCTCACAAATTCCTCCGTTAACTGGTGTTTCCTCCAAGAAAATTGCTACTTTAAGGAGCGAGGAACAAAGAGGAACAAATGGGTCCCAAAGACGCAACAAACTCGTAAAAACATTTTCAAACATCATAAAAAATGTGTTCAATTTTCATGCCTGCGAAGTTTGATAAGGGCTAATTCAACATACACAACCTCAGAGCTACCACACAAAGACTTCTATAACTACTGCGCTAAAACACAAATGAACGACTTCACCATCGCAGGCTCAACCTCACTTTCACACAAAACATGAACAAATTAAACTGTTTAAAGTGATTTCAATATTTGACACTGCTTCAGAAAATTTAGCAATCGATTTCCGGGGCAGGAATACAAATTACAACTAAACAGCATATTCTAGACGTCTCACATTTAGTTAAGAAACTCGAGCACAATTCATGGCAATGTTGTTGTTCAAGAGTGTGGTTACAAGTTTCATTGAACCTAGAAATACCATAGTAAGTACCAAACAGAACTTGCAAACTTGTCTTGAGGCGTTTTCACAACCTTAAAACGTCACATCATTGCATTTGCTTACAGATGATGTCTTCAAATGATCATTGCATTATATTGCCCAAAAAATAGCACAAGCTAATGACAGAAGGTTAGGACCTAAGCATCAAAATAGGCAACAACGTAGGTCAATTGTTAAAAAAAGCAAAGCCCCAACTTACACGGCTTAACTAGGATTTTCATATCAATATGCCCTCCTACTTGTCACCCAACTGTGGAGGAGGGAACTAATGCAGGCACAATGTCAAAACCAAAAGCTGCATGAAAATCTCACCATGACATTTTCACCACACACCCATCTGTGCCTTGTTTCAAAGCTCAAGCATGTAGCAATGGGAAACCCCTATAGCACTGTTTATCAATTTCAATAAGCCTGGTACTCACAAATCATCTGCATAATCCTCGTAAACAAGTACCATCACCTCTCTACACCATTCAAAGCCTTTCAGAATCAAAATATTATTCTTGCTTAGTACTCAGATCGGTAAAGTCCTTCATGCTTTGGGAGATCAACTTACTGTTGTACAAACCTCAACCTTCAAAAACCTGCAGTTAATTTCTTACAACAGAAGTACACTATAATGCAATATCAAGAAGCATATCTCTAACAGTGTAGAGGTCGCTTACTTTAGTACAACTGCTTCCTACTACCTTGGTCACAAGAGGAGGCTTGGGATGCAAATGCTCTTGCCCAGATGAGAGGCACCAGGATATTAGGAGATAAACTCATAGTGAGATTGCCATCTTCCATTATGGCATTTCTTTCATCGGCCAAGGAAAAACCAAAGAGTCTACAGCTACTTTTACATGTGGAAACCATATCTTACTGCCTTGTATGATGAATGAGCCACAGAACTTGAATGTTTGACATCCAATTGGTTGTGGTCTTTTGAAAGACGCAAGGAATTTTACCCCTTCAAAGTCTTCCTTCCTTGAGCTTGCTCACCAGATGAGGGTGACATGATCTTTACACCACATGATTCAGAAATGCTAACTGAAGTTCGTTGTTAAAATCATACTCCCCTGATTAGTGCCAAATGTTGAACTGAAGTTAGGAACAGTGCACGTGCTTGCTGCAACAATAACACTGAAGGCGGTAATGACACCTGAGTTGAAGAAGCGGATGGGCGCAGATAAGTATTATAACCCTGCATCAGGGCACCATCCATGCACTGAGCTTGAAGCCCGAACACCATCACTAGTCCCTTGGACATTGTTTTTCCTTGTTAGCAGCTTGACCTCTTCCATACGGTGAACTCGAGAATGTTTCTTGACCTTGCAAGACCTTATTGAATCCAAAAAGATTCACCAAAGCCTATGCTTCCATAGGGAAATGCAGAAGTCCTGGAACTACCAGAACCAAGAATACACCCCCTTATTTCTGATGGATGATGGCTGTGAGCATCAATACCATCATAAGTGAACCAAAACCAAAATTTTCTTGACCTTGCAAGACCTTCTGGAACCTAAAAGATTGCCTCAATCTGCCACTCCTGTCCCATCTGTGCAAGACAATCAATAAAAATTTATATCTCTAAATATATATTCTCAATTAAACAGCCCTAGAAATGTAGTGACCTCTGGAAACTGGAAAATCTACTTTTGTTGGAGACAAACCAACCCTTGCCCTTTTCATACCAGGTGCCACCAAGCTGCATGATATGGAAATTGAACCAGTTGGCTCAATCTCCCATGGAGAAACCGGTCATGGCTGATAGTTTCTATATCATCCCATCTTACCTGCAGAAGTTGATCAACAAGTTCATACCATCATAACTGCTAACAACATTAACAAAAATCTCACTTTTATGTACACTGCTTAGTCTTTTATTTCTAATTTACATGTCCATTGATTTATTTATTTATGGTCCTGGTGAGAAAGGAGTAGTAGTTTATACAGTATCCAATTCTTAGGAAAAACCAACACAGGTAGAAAAGCAGCAAGAAATTTTAATAATTACAATTTCATAGATGATAAAGAAAAATCAAAGGCAGCCATTACACAAGGTTTCAGCCACTTCAGGTGGACAATACAAGAAACCTGCCCCAACTTCCCCCCCCCCCCCCCTTCCCCAAACACATTTACATCATTCCAAGAACTTTAAACTATTAATGCTAGCATCATGTCTCTAAATTGGCATGCGAGTTATTAAATGCAAAGCTTTCCACGTAAAAGCTCCAAGATATCACCTAGTAAAATATGCAAGAATGTGACATTGTGAGACAATCAACAAAGCCAGAGTAACACCTAAATAAATTGTTTCTAGCAGTCGTTTCATGGTATCATCAACTTCTCTGCAAGTACAAGGCACATGACACAGGACGCCTACTTAATCTTACCTCATCTTGCAGTGAACCTTAGACCAATCTTTAAGGCAAGGCTCAGTTTGCAATTTAAATCCCACTGCCCAGAGAATATGTACCCAGGAGAAAAGGTCTCTAATACAAATGCATAAAAATGTAGTAAGTATTGCTTACCAATAGGCATCTCCACTTTGAACCTGGCCATCTAACAGGATCCACATCACTAACCCCAGTAATTAGTCCAGTACAACCTGCCAAGGTAATATATGTCAGATCTTTGTCACAGTTTCTTCAATTTGGAAATCAGAGCAACACTGACCTTCTCTCAGCTGCGTCCTCTGTTTCATAACGAATTTTAAACCTCATTCCCATAGAAAAAGAATGAGCAAGGCTTTTTGAGAATTTATGTAACGGTATTATATACTCCGATGAACAGCCCTACAAGAGGCACTAGAGACTCAGAGGCAAGGAGAGTGACTGGGGAATATAAATTAAGCAGTCGCATAAATCCAATTATTTAAGGTTAATAAACAATAAGTGCAACAATTTCTTAACAAGGAAAAAAGAAACAAATCAAAATCCAACTAAATATTGAAATTATGCACCTTGGCTAACAAGTTAATTTTAGGGCCAAACATTCATATTGAATAGTGAGAAGTTAGAGGATGATCTAATGATATATCAGAAGACTGATCACTACATTACTGAATTAGGCCTATATTAACCTTGTGGAATATTCACAATCTTGGAACCAGGACACCACAACCATCCAATCAAAAAATTTTAAAAAAAAATAAAAAAGCACTACTATAGTTCACCCAATGGTACCAATTATGAGAATCAATTTTTACCTAAAACCAATAATAGCAGTAAAATGTAGCACTTTTAACCAAACATGATACAACATTTATATGCCTGTTCATGAATAACCTCAAGGTTGCATCACCTTCACACAAAAGAGATTACTCAGCAGTATAATGTGCATCCAATATGCTGCAATCATTCGCAAGTTGTGCAAATTACATTTAGGGTGGGTGGCACTATTGTGATCATAAAAATCAAAAGAATTATAGGCAACACCAGTGCACTAAACTATTACAAGAAATGAAGAACTAATTTGGGGACCATCAAAAGATCTCCTGAATGAGGGATGTATATGAAATTTTTCTATTAGAGAATTCCTTACTCTCAAGGAATTTAATAAGCACACATGCATCAATCATATGGATTATGATTCAGAAAAGATCATATTTATAAATATTGATCCATAGAATAACTGGTTACACTTTCTAAGTAGCCTTCTCCTAAATAGAAATAAATAGTTGTCGACACAGCATCAGTGTACTCGGCACAAAGTTCTTATCAAAATAAGCTATAACAGAATCAAGAAACAACATATTGGTATATATTAGACAGCAAGTAGTAAAAACATTAACATGATAAAGCCCTTTTTCTTCGACCATAATTTAGTAAAAGTAGAAGACCGTTTTTAGGAATTATCACAACAAACAGAAGTAACAGAAAAATATCACCTTGAACAGATAAAAGTAGCCATTGGGATGTCACACTTGTACAGGAAAAATAATTGGGATGACTTCAAAGTACCGTGGGTTGTAGCAAATGTTGAACATATTTCTTGTGGATATGGCATTGACCACAGCACCGATATTGCCTATGTTGAACTTCTGGCTAGAGAGAGCGGAAAAAGAAGAATCAACTTTAACTTGGATGCCGCCGATTCCTAATCTCAATTCACCATCTCCACCCCTGCCACATGTCAAATGTAAGCAAGCAGAGATTCAACACCTATTCAAACTTTAGGTTTGTACCTTAGAAATAAAACTGCATCTCCAGAAACAAGCTTCTTCTTATTGACAAAAGCACTCCAACAGTATCAGCAGATGTCTTCGAGGCTGGCCTGCAGAAACCAATTTAGAGAAAAAAAAAAAATGTATATCGAAGTTCAAGCCTTGAGCAGGAAATTAAAAATGTACATCATCATGCCGTCATCCATACAACTAAATAAGTGCCTTAACAGCAAACACCGCAAAATGATCATTGTCACATACCCGATAAATGTGTCGAAACCTCCATTCAGTCCCGTGTAAATCTTTAGCTACAAGCTCCTGGGAAGGCCTCTGTTGTTTATGGTCCCTACGTAGTAAATATATAAAAATCAGGATCTAGAAGAAAAGCAAATGAATCACATAGACTGATTCACACGTTCACGTAAGCAAAACCTATAACCCAAATTCAGCTGAATTGCAAGAGTAACTGCAACACAATAATTAACAAGAGAGGAGAAATTAAAACCAGGTTCAGCAGAAGTTCTGGGAAGAAAACAGGATTAGCATTACCAGAGGAAGGAAAAGCAGTCCTCAGCAGCCCGACGAGGAACAGAGAAACCTCCATGAGTGCTAGTGTCAGAAGCAGTGAGCGTCTTGCAGAACATGTGTGGCGTGGTGGACTTCACTACACCCTCCATATCCGCTTCTTCATTTTCGGCCTCAATTTCCCCTTGTCTCCACTTCTGCTCAATCTGCTTGACGTGTTAAATTCAGCACTTCAGCAAAACAATAAAGCGAGTCCAAAATTCTAAACTACCCACATCACTCATCAAAAGATAAGTCAGTCAAAGAAAGATAACGAAATAGCAATGTTAAGACATCCTCAGGATTATCATGCCACCATTTTCAAAGCCCTATTTTCGGCAAATCTATGAATCGATTCATGTAGTTTCATAAACCGGTGACGAGGAGACATGTGAACATCTGCATTTAAACTTAAAATACCAGGGATATTAGCGTTTCTAAAATGCAAGTTAATCAGTACTTCTCGATAAAGAGTACTTCTGTTACAAGGTGAAATCTACGCAGAGGATCACTAATGAAATACAGAGCCACATAAAGCATGTAACGCAACACCACCTCAGCATCAAAAATTAGGGAGACTTGCGCATAAACCTCATCTGTGGCTGCCTCCGCCTATCGACAAAGCACCCATTTCGCAATTAGAAACAACATTTAGCAAACTATCAAATAGGGAAACCCAAATAGAATCTAAACTCAGAAATCGAAGCCCCAAGCACAACAGCATTCATTGCCGACAATAATTTAACTAAAACGGCGAACTATTCAATTGTTCGCACCAGTAGATACGCTTCACGCAAATTGCATCACTTACATGAAGCTTGACATCAAGAACTCGACAGAAGACGTGAGGAGGGAGGTCATAGATTGCCGCCGAAAATCAGAGGCGTGCTCCAAGTGGCCCTGCGGGAAGTACACCACCACACTCCCTCTCTTCGGCAAAGATATGAGCGGACCAGCACACGCGTGCCATAGTTCCAAGCACACGGACGAAGAAGACGAAGAAGGTAATGACAGAGAACCAGAAGCCGACGCAGCAGGGGACGCCGAAGCCGAAGCCGCCGAAGATGACGAGGAAGAAGAAGACGGCGAATCGAACGAAGACGGCGCCGCCTCGTCGTCGTCGACGGTGTTGAGATCAATCAGCCCACCCATCGCCTCGGAGAAAAGCCCTAGAACGCAGAACAACCACGAATCTCAAGAGAAATAGAGGATAAATCAGCTCAAGTGTATAATTTATAGTTACAGAGAGAGAGGAAACCCTGCTAAACTGCTACTTCACCTTCACAGCTTCCCACTCAACGCGTTGCTAAAAGAAGATGAATCAAATATTCAAAATTTAAAACAGAAAAGAAAGTAAGAAAATCCATGACACTTTCTCTCTCCAGAATTTTTTTAGGGATTTAATTAGGACAAAAGCTTTACATATCAAATCATGCTTTACTATTTACACATACTTGTATGTATGCATGAATAAATATATTAGTATATCTCCGTATAAATCCAAATATATTGTAGAGAGAGCTGTTGTGGTTCATACCTGCAGATTGCAGCAGCGGCAGCGCTTGCGACTGCCGGGGAGGAAATAGCTGCTGCTGCGATGTGAGGCAGGCGGGAGCCAGTGCGTATATATGTACGTGCGATAGATAGATGTATGCGTAGAGAGAGAGAGAGACAGATAGAGGAGAGAGAAATCTGAGTGCAATATAAACTGAAAAAGTATAGCTTTATTATTGCTTTATGTGATGCTTTATTAGTTAAAATTTTGAATAAATAATCAAAACTGAGCAAGAATCCAGTTAAAAGAGAGTCGTGGCAGTGGTCCTGGGGATTCGGGACCAGCGGAGGACTCCCATTGTTTCCGGCGGATGTCTATTCTGTCCCCTTCCCATTCAACAAATCTCTCTTATGTCCCATTCCTTAATTTAATAACCTCCCTTTTTCTGTTTATATAATATTGTAATTTTTTGACCAAAATTGACTCTTTTATATTAAGAGGACCGGAGTCAAAGTCAGCTTTTTTAATTAAATTCTCATTGTGGTTGTCTTCCAATTTAGAAAGAAAATTACTGAATTGGGATTCGGTTGGTGAATTTTTTAAAATCATTCTTCCTGGTAGAACAAAGCTGAATTAATTTTAATTAATTTTATAATTTATTAAATTATTAAAATAATAAACTTGAAAGCTTACTATTATCAAAAATAGGAACTAAGGTCTGTTCGGATTTGCTTTTGAAAATATTTCTCTTTTCCATAATTGGGAAGAGAAAATGGGTTTTGTAGATTACTTTCGAAAATCATGTTTTTGGAAATTTCAAAAACGGGGTTTCTTTCAAAAATGACAAAAAAAATTTAAAAAATTACAAAAAGCTAATTTTTATTTTTGAAAAATAGAAAATAAAAATGTAACAGTTTGCACGTTTATTAATTTTTAAGTTACATGAATTAGTGGAAAAATACAAAAACACAAGAAGAATTGAGTTTGAACTCTTTTGCATGACTATTTATTCATGTAACGGGGAAAAAGAGAAATAGAAAACAACAGCGAAAACAACACATACCAAATTAATTTTGTCTGTGACATAAGGGTGAGGTCCTAATCTCTCGTTCCTTTTCCTTTAGGCAGCCAACTACCTGCCTACCTTTCGTTTTGTCCTCATTTGTACAAGCTCATGTTACATAATTATGAGTCGGTATGGTTTTGCATGTGATATGGGATATGACAAATGCAAATTATAGGGTTTTTATTTAAGGATTTGCAAAAACTGTACTTGAAAGATACCCATTTGTCCCTTGGGTTAGTGCTTTGGGCAATGCTTTGGGCTTTCCTACAACGTCAATAAGATTGACCAAAAGCTTCAAATAGGACATAGCCTCACTTCTCTTCATTGCTTGGGTGTGGTTGCATTTCCTCTATGTAGTTCTTCAAATGTCCATTTGTTGCAAGAACTCAAGTATCTTATACCAATTATCTCCAAATTAATCCATAAAAATATTAGTATTTATGATATTTTACCTAAGAAAAAAAAAAGAAAATATTCAAATCATGAAGATAACGTCGTCTTACTTTTTAAACAAGTTAAAATGAGTTTTATATACAAATATTTAATTTCTAATTATTTATTAAAATGTGATGTATTAAAATATTATTAAAATATGATGTATTAAAATTATTTAAATAGAGGACGTTTAAAGTCAATTTCAATGAGAATTTTTTTATTTATTTATTTTAAACTAAAGAAGTCAATTTCATTATTTTAAACTAAAAGAAGTCAATTTCAGTCAAAGCAACTTCACTTTATTTGCTTTTTTTTCTAAATTAAGAAAGGAAAATTACTTCCACTTGAATCAATTTCCCTCGTTACTTTTTCTTTTAGAAATAAAGAAGTAAAGTTGTCTCCCTAGAAATAACTTTATTTCGTAATTATTTTCTTTTCTACTTTTTTCCTCTAATATTATAATTTTAAAAATTAAATAATAAAATGTAAAATGTTTTTATATCTTTTATTTAGAAATTATAAAATTTTAAAAAATAAAAATAAAAAAAGAAGAAAAGTCAGTTCTGTGAATTTTTTAAGACAAGCTTTATTTATCAGACCAGGGGAGCGTTTGGAACCAATAGGCTGACCTAGTCCAAGGTAATATTTGTTTTAATTATAAAGTTGTTAGCACGTGTTTAGAATTGGTAAGAGAAAATAAATTAATTGTTCATAACTTTTTTTAAAGTAACAAATTTATTTTTGATTTCCAAAGGGTGAAACATATAAAAAATTAAAAGTAATTTCTTTTTATGTTCTAAAAAATTGCGTCAAGAATTTTTAAAACAATATCTATTTTCACATTAATAAAATATACAATAGGATGTATAAAGAGGAGTCATGCAAAATAAATGATATAAAAAAAAACATCTGCATCTTATTAATGAAAACTAACATCAATAAACAGAGGGATAAACAATTAAATTTTAAAATATATTAAAATAACAAAGACCTTAGAAATATCTGCCCAAAGATGGGGGCATACCTGAAAATAATAATCAATATTTTGCCTTATCCACGGGGGAGAAGGCAAGGTTGTCAGTCCATGGAGGTGGGGACAAACGTGTCACAGTAACGTGTAACTAGTGACGGAAAGAGGCAGGGTCTCTATCAAAGCCATCATCGATTGCCAAGAGCCCAAATCGAAGGCCTACTAACCTAGGTTTTGTAGGCCTAGGGAGATAACCAAAACAGAACGGGTTTCCACTTTTTAATTTTGTAATTATTTTTAGAAAAAAATCTCCTACAGGAGGAGACCGAAAATTTTTTGGAGGGATGCCGCGTCTGACTTAATCGATAAGCTATTAATTTTTTGATAGAAGCTCTAGGCATTCGGTTGTCAAGAAGTGGGATCGGGAGAAAAGGATGTTTTGAAAAATGTGAAATTAAAATTTTATATTTTTATAAAAAAGTATTATATTTTAAATTAATAAGTTGATGAGTGTTTAATATTTTTTCATAAAAATTTTAAAATTAAATTTTTTATATCATCAAAAAATTTTGAAATAGAAAAAAAAAATCTTGGGTAATCACTCGGCTACTCCCTTGATCAAACATTTAGCTATTGATTTATTAAAAAATAAAACAATTGATCTGCCAAAATTTAAAACTTAAAAAATTAACCTATTTTTGTAGTAATATTATATTTTTTATTTACCAATATACATAATTTTTGACCTATTTACAGAAGTTTAGAAAATTGAACTGAATTCTTTATCAAAATCAGGTTGAATCAAATTAAATTTTGTATGGAAGTCAGTAGGGCTAGAACCAACTTCCCAAGAAGTCAGTCCACTCCTTTGCTTTGTGTGGATGGAGCTCCGGAGAGCTTGGTTCAAATGGAGCTCTTAGAAGAAGAGCTCCGTCCACATGAAGTTCTACATAGAACTCCATCTAGGAAAACATCTGTGCAGATCACCTCTACAAGAGCATATGACTTTCTTAGTTTTGCTAGTCAGGATAGACTTTCCTTGGAAATCAGTTTTTACCTTACTAGCTTCTATAAAAAAACACGGTTCAATCCAAAACAACTCTTAAGTAAATTAGTTTGATTGGAACTGTCTTCTTAAAAGAATTCGTATTTAAGAATTTTGATAAATACAATTAAAGTTATCTACATTTATAAAAAAAATTATTAGATTAATACAAAAAGCTAAAGTTTAATAGCTTGAATTTCAGAACCTGCCAAACAACCCCTTCTTGGCAGCTATGGGCTTTAAAGTGTATTATTCTTTAGGAATAAAAATTGAAAACATAGAAAAAAAGTTTTACGAATTTGCTAAATTTATGCCACGCGCCACAAAAAGGCAAGTGAGACAGAATCTAATACTAACTTTTCTTCCCTCACTTCAATCCTTTCGATTCAGATTATCCGACGCGCTGCAAGTTTAATGATTTATAAAGATAGCCCATTTAGGATTAATAGGAGATTCTCAATATTTTTTTCAACACCCTTCTATTTGGGTTTTTATGATTTGAAAATATCCAAATCGTCCTCATGCCCTGGGATTTACAAATTCTTTTATACAGCAGGAAACAAACACGCCAGGGTAAAATAGGCATTCTAGTAGTTGGGGGAGGAGGACTGACTTGAAACGGTAACTAAATTACATTTTCTGCTTTTTGAAGGTCAAATGATAAATTAGTGGCATTCCTTGTTTCGGGAACCCAAAACATTGGATATTCCTATTTTTCACCCCCGCACGTGTTGTTGGTGATTCTGGGTTATTGCTTTATTAGCATAAAATATAATAAATGGATTACTAATTCAAAATTTAGGAATATTTGTTTAAAATGTAATAATATTTGGGACTGTGTAACAACGGCGTGCTCGTGCAAGCCTGCGTGAGTGGCGGCAGGCTCCTGGCGAGCTCGCGCAGGTTCTCGTCGGGGGCCTGGGCACGAGAGGGGAGTGGGGCGAAAAGAGAAGTGGGGAAGAGAAATGGGCAAAAATGAAAAAAAAAATATCCGGGGGATAAGCCTTATCAGGCAATCTCCCCTGGATACCCTATCAGCGTACCTAGATAAAACAGTCTGCCTGAAATTTTATCTGCCGTTGTTACACGCGTACTAAATATGTGATAAAGGGTAAAATACTATGCGGACAGGATAAATTTT